GCCTAGCTGGTACCGGTAGCAGGCATGGTCGGAGTGCAACCTCCATGGAGACCATGGACATGGAGGACCGGGCCGTAGGCATGGAGGTCCAAGCACTGCCACAAGGAGGACCGAGCTCAAGGAGCATACAGATGGTTACCACTTAGGGGCTCGAGAGACAAGAGTCAGAGGAACCATCACCGGTCAAAGAGAAGGAGCAGTGTATAGGAAACCGGCAAGTAGGTCCTGAGGAGGAGGAGCAGTGTCGAAGGAGCTGACATAGCTCAAGGAGGGCAGGAGTGGTGCTGGAGGGACCCCTGTACAGTACTCGATGAAGAGGGTACTCTCTGGAGAGAGAGCAGGAGTAGCGTCACTGGTGACGTTGTGAAGAGGTATATAACCATACCTTCTCATCACCAAAGGTCGAGTGGATCCTCATCCACTCTACACTCACCATGTTAACTAGTTATCACTTCAAGCATAAGTATACATTAGTTACAGTCAGCGCAGTTGCAATCTATCAGGTTGCCTATCATTGTAGCGCGTGTGTTATATCACCGCTCACTGACGTCTGAAGGCGGTTCATAGCAGACCAGCGTTCCGGATATAGATAGAACCGAAGGCAGTAGTCCACTGCGGTCCGGGGATCACCTCAAGCGATAGTCGACACACTGGACACTCGTGTCGACGCCACCAACCTTACCACCAACGTCACCAACCTTATCACCACCACCACCACCTTCATCATAACCTACGCATTGATATCGATCGTGCCAAGCCACCTCTGAACGGAGTGTCCACAGAGGTCAGCCGAAACCTATGATAGTACATACAACGGATGCCACCCGCTGTCCTCACGCAGCTTGATAGTCACCGAGTATCTCGACAGACCGACCTAGGTTTCAGGCGCGAGACCCCTGACACCTCCCATTGCTTCCTTGTAGTCTGTCGATCCATTCCATACTGATGGGAGCTTCTTGTGGTGTGTTTGGTGAAATCAACCCAATGAGTGTGTTCTGCTTGATTTCAGTGAAACCAATTAGAAACCCACGACATGGTTGATCTCTGTGAAATCAACCAGAAACCCATGTTACAGTTGATTTCATATTCCGTGCGTTTTTAGGCGCAATTCATCTCATCTCGGATCTTCTTGCCCAGACCCGATCTTCTGCGCAGGCCCTATGACACATTCTCACCCGCTTGTTGGGTAGCAGCAGTTGCGTTGCCAGTATTGTGAGGGGAATTAGGACAGACATCAGCGATATGTCCGGCATGTTGACACTTGTGGAAGAGGTGGCCAGGGCAGTCTTCAAAGGTGTGGAAGTATTTGGCCTTGCTCTTGCAGGATGAGCACCACTGTAGTCATCCAATGTAGTTGAGTTCACAATCGTTGGTGAGGATTTGAACATAGCCAGGAATGGCATGGAGTCGGACCCGATCAAGGCCCCCTTCGTCTCCCGCTGGGGTGGAGATGAGAGCAATGAAAATGTTGGTGTTGGCTGGAGGCGTAGGGTTGTTGGGGTAGGAGACTGGTGTCAGAGGTTGCGCGCCTGAAACCGGTGATCTGTAGTAGAACTGCTTCTATTACAGATCTTGTTGGGATATGTGATTGTATATGTAGTATTGCGATTCTTGTCGAGTTATGCCGTAGTGACGTCCCTACGACTTTACTCACTCAAATCTGTGATTGGAGTAAAGCTATTGCAGATTTCGACTGACCGCTGTGGACACTCCGTCCAGAGGTAGCTCGTCACGATCAATATCAATATGTGAGTTGTGGTAACACCAAGGTCTGGTGTGAGTATGCTGTTGGGTGGCATCGACACGAGTGTCCAGTGTAACGACTATTGCTTGAGGTGAACCCCAGACCGCAGTGGACTACTGCCTTCGGTTCTATCTTTATCCGGACCGCTGGTTTGCTATGAACCGCCTTTGGATGTCAGTGAGCGGTGATACAACACATGCGCTACAATGGGAGGCAATCTACTTGATTGCAACTGTGCTGACTGTAACTGATGAGTACTTATGCTGCTGAAGTAATACTAGTTATATGGTGTGTATAGTGGATGGGGCTCCACTCGACCACTTATGACAAGAAGGCATGGTTATATACATCTTTGCAGCGTTGCCAGTGACACTGCTCCGGCTCTCTTTCCAGAGAGTACCTTCTTTGTCGGCCCCTGCGTGTCCAGCGCTTCTGTCCTCCTTGAGCTATGTGTCGATCTCCTCGACACTGCTCTTCCTCCTCATGACTTGTTTACCGGTGTCCCTGACACAGCTCTTCTTCCTTCCACTGGCGACGATTCTTCAGGTCTTCATCTTGCGACCCCTGAGTGGTAACCAGCTGCATGCTCCTGAGCTTGGTCCTTTCCTTGGCGACGCTTGGTCCCGCTCCTCGCATGTGACGTTCGTCGCGCTATCATCCTTGCCACTGATCTCCGTGGAATCTGCCATGCGATCATGCTTACTGCAGATCCTGGCGGGATTCGTGATATCAACTCTGCTCACGCCGATCTAGGTGAGATCTGTCATTGAGCTGATTCTACTGCAGATCTCGGTGAACTCTGCCGCAAATCCTACCATCTGCCCGATTTCCTGATTCCTGCGCTCCCTGTCATGGGCCAGAATGCTCAAGAAGCAAGAGGGTCACTGGTTCATATGGAAGGAGCACAGGTATCGGAGATCTAGTCGATACCAGTAGAGAGCATGGTCGTAGTGCAGTCTCCATGGAGACCATGGACTCCTATGGACTCACATGCGAAGAAGGACCGGGTCCATAAGCGAGGAGAGCCAGGCGCAGCCACGAAGAGGACCAAGCTCAAGGAGCGGGCACAGCCACGAAGAGGACCAAGCTCAAGGAGCATGCAGACAGTTACCATTCAGGGGCTCAAGAGATAAGAGTCAAAGGAACTGTCACCGGTCGAAGGAGGAGGAGCAGTGTATAGGAGACCGGCAAGCAAGTCCTGAGGAGGAGGAGCAGTGTCGAAGGAGGCGACACAGCTCAGGAGGACAGGAGTGGTGCTAGAGGGCCCCCTGTACAGTACTCGATGAAGAGGGTACTCTCTGGAGAGAGAGCAGGAGCAGCGTCACTGGTGATGCTGTGAAGAGGTATATAACCATACCTCCTCATCATCAAAGGTCGAGTGGATCCTCATCCACTCTACACCATATCAAACTAGTTATCACTTCAAGAATAAAGTATACATTAGTTTCAGTCAGCATAGTAGCAATCTATCACGGTTGCTCCTCCTTGTAGTGCATGTGTTGTATCACCACTACCTGACGTCCGAAGGCGGTTCATAGCAAACCAGCGGTCCGGATTAAGATAGAACCGAAGGCAGTAGTCCACTGCGGTCCGGGGATCACTCCAAGCATCAGTCAACACACTGGACATTTGTGTTGATGCCACCGAATTACCACCAACGTCACCAACCTATCACCACCACCACCACCTTCATCATAACCGTCGTATCAACACTGATCGTGCCGAGCCACCTCTGAACGGAGTGTCCACAGAGGTCAGCCGAAACCTGCGATAGCACATACCACAAACGCCACCCGCTGTCATCGCGCAACTTAATAGTCGCCGAGTATCCCGACAGACCGACCTGGGTTTCAGGCGTGCGACCCCTGACATGCCGCAGGGAAAGTTGGCCATGCAGGCAGGTGCTTGAATGCCTTTGGTCTGCATTTGTTGTTGAGCCTCGAGTTAAAGAGAGCCTCAAGCAATGTCCTCCTCTTGGTTGAGGTTGAAGTTACGCACAAACTGCCAATAGACCGTGCAGGGAGGTACTCTGGCGTGGTCAGACCTAGGGAGTGGAAGCTCCTTGAAGGGGACAGCCAGCTTGTCAGATTGTTTGGCAGACCAGACAAGTCTGCCAGTGAAGATGGGCTGAAATGCCTGTTGGTCAGGTTCAACCAGCAATGGATCTTCCATGGTTTCATCATCACCATCTCCATGTTGTCCAGTAGTGGAGACAGTGGCGGGATCACTGGTGTCAGCTTGGTTGGAGGTGAGTGTGGTGGAAGTTCCATCAGCCTGAGCCTGTCTGGTGGTGAGGGCAATGGATGTATCAGGTGCATGGGTCTGCTCGGCTGCAAGGGCGGAGACAGTTCCAGGGCTGGAAGCATGGCAGTGAGCATCAATAGTACGAACGGGCGGCATTGAGCAGTTGTTGAGTTGCTTGGGATTAGTTGATGTGGTCTAGCAGTTGTGTAGGTGGTGGGGGGGAAGGGCAGGTTGTGGCTAATAGGGTGGATCTTTATAGATCCAGACTGAAAGGGAAAACAGGATTTTAGCCAGGCTAAGGGCTGGACAGATGAGCAAGACTGGTCCGATTGGTCTGCGAAGGCAAGCTGAGCCTGCTTTACCAGAGACCAGGGAAGAATCCTTGTTAGTTTAGCCAAAGGTAGCCGCATAGTAGGGGGCTTGGGTCTCTTGCTGCAGAATGCCGTCTCCGTGACCTGCGTGTGGCATGCACGAGGCACCAAGGGCAAAAGAGACTTGCCGTCGCAATCAGGCTCTCCAGAGCTGTTGCTGAGGAAGGTATTGAGGAGTTGTGTTAATGGATCATAACGAACAAGGTGCTGGTTTTGCCTGGCATTGCTATGCTGAGCTCCCCAGCATCAGCAAAGTAGCGAAGTTTGCGAAAGTCGCGATTTCATTGAGTCGAAGTCGAGCCGTTTGCGGATGGATGGATGGATGCGGAGGGTGTGAAAGTGATGTTTGCTGGCCTTGGAGCTTGCGAAGGCGCCGATGCTGTTGGATCTTGATACGTTGGGGTGCACTGTGGTCTGCTGAGTACCCTTGTTGAGTATGGTGAGGAGTTGTGATGTCGGAAGGTCGAGGTGATTAGGAGCGACATGGTTACTGCCAGTTACACCATCTCGAAAAATTTGAGTTACAGCATAACTCGGTCATTTTCTGATAGATCTTGCTCCAAAAAGTTGGAGGGGGTGCCCCCTCGATCTTCGGCGTTTGTAGAATCGAGAATCAGAGGTTGAACCGCGAAAAAAAAATTCGACACCAGCAGGATTTGAACCTGCGCTCCCAGGGGGAATAGCATAATTAGGGTGTTGGATCCAATTCCGAAGAATTCGAGTGCTACGCGATAACCACTCCGCCATAGTGCCTACGATGCTTAGGCAGCGCAGCATATGTGGTTAAAACGCTAACAATCATGGCGAAAGTGGCAGAGAGCAGGCAGGATGGATGGCACGTGCAGACAGCCATCTTTTCTTTTTTTTTTGTCTCTTTTTTCGAGACGCTGGGATAAAGCCCCAAGAGAGAGGAGAGACAACTGAGCCTAACAAGCGAGAAGAGGCTCTACGCGCCGCCGCAACCAGCAAAAAGGAGAGAGAGAAAGAGAGAGATGGGCCCCCCTCTCTTTTTGGAGACTCTTCTCAAAGCGGTCTTCGAAATCCTCTCGCATCGAGAGGCAGTAACTTGAGTGAGAGCAGTGGCCGGGCATCCATCCATTTCCAAAAGGAGAGACGCTCAGACTCGGTCGTTGCCGTTCACACCCAACTAAGCTCTTGCTTCTTGCGATTCAGTTGACACCTTCCCCCATCGGAATCCATCCTCAGCCTCGTCGTCCCCAACCTCAACCTCATCCTCTCCACCTCTTCCATCTTTCTTTTCCCGTCTCAATACCGGCCATCAACGAGTTAGATTGCAACTACTCGAGCATAAGGACCAGCCTGTACTCCAGTCTCCATTCAGCATCATCCTTAACGACATAAGCTTAAACTCTTCTTCCTTCATTTGCGCATCCCTAATTGCAACCCGTCCCTTTTCACTCGTCGACAGGCCGAAAGATCTCCCGCAGAGCTAGTGTTCCAGCCTCGCATAGCTTCAGCTCTCAGTCTCGTGCCCATCGGCTGAGCCACGAAAGCATAAGCTCACGCCAGGACCAACAGAAAGCTTGCTTGCTTCCTGGAGACGCGCCGCCGGTGCGACCCACTTCTTATTTGCACATCTTCATATCCTGGCATCGTCATTGCTTCCAAAACAAGCCACAGCACGTCGCTCCGAAGACCCGTCCAGAGAACGCAAGGGTGAGAGCCTCGTTTTAGACTGCCCTGCAACATTGATCGCCAACTGTCTGGATACTTTCGTCTTTCCGCTTTCAGATCGATGCAGTCTCTCCAAATCGCGCCAACTTAGAATATCCTTCTTTGTCCACATTCGACCTCTCACATTCGCAGCCCGAGACGAGCACCTCTTGGTCCCATTCCGCCCTCGATTCTGATTCAAGGAGGCTGCTACAAGTCGATATCAGGTTGGCACTATCCTCTCGACCTTGATCCGTCTCGACAGCCGCAGACTCACATCCCACAAAAGGGGCCGCCTTGCTTCGCCCCCCAACTAGAACTTCCGATCAACGAAATGCATCCGAGGCAGCCTAGCGGTCCTGGCTCAACCGATGCCATGGAATTCTACGACCGCATGCATACACCAAAGCACGAGCTCGACATGTCTGACGCTTTTGCAGGTGCTATCCCACCCTCTGCTGACCAACACCAGCCGTTGACAAGCGTACCAGAACATTCGCAGCTCGACAGCCAGCAGCTACAATCCGTCAGCACGTCGTCTGCTTTCACCAACCCTTCCCTCGACCCCAGCAGCTCGCAAGTTCCATCTCTGCCTCCTTCTCAGCAAGCAAGTCCGAGCGCGCGGCGAATCGAGAAGCTAGCTACAAGCTCGTACGGTCTTGTTCAGCCAGGAGGTCGTCCTGATCCCTCGTCAGCCTCTTCATCTCGCAGACCTTCCGATGTCGCCAAACCACTTCCTGGTCTGCCAGGCGGTCCAACCAATGCAGAGCAGAGCTACCTCCCCGGCATGAACAACGGTGCAGCCTCTTCTGCCATGCCTCATCCTAGCTCGGCTATGGGTAGCCTCGTCGACCATCGCGCTCCCATCGTTGACGCCCTGCCGCCTCAGCACATTCCTCGTCCCCTCGGCGGATCCGCCCCATCCAGCGCCCATGCTTCATCGCCCCTGCGCACACCACCAAGGCAGTCAGCTGTTGATGCTGCTTCAGCAACAGGGGTTGAGCCATTGAGGATGCCCACCTCCATCTCTGTCGGACCATTTTCTCCGCCAGAAGCCGACCCGCATCGCACCATGATGGACAGCAATCGTGACAGTATCGACGATATCCGCCGCAATCATGCCGCTAGAGCTGCCAGACGCCAATCGCACAACCCATCCGCGAGCGATGCTCGTGCAGGCAACGGACTCATCCCGGATGCCACCTTCACTCCGACCCGCGGCCACGCACATTACCAGAGCGAGTCACCAGCAGCAGTACTTGCATCGGCTGATCCGGCACAACGGCATCGCAAAGGTATGGCGTCCGAACCACCTCGTCCCGCCAGTGTGCTAGAGACGCGTGCCGCCCGAATGGAAGCTGCACAGCGTCATCAACAGGGTCAATCGCGTTTGGACGAAGGCAGCAGCGATACATTCGACGCCACGGACACTTTTGCATCGTCGCGTGACACCAACGTCGATCGTGCTTCTCAGCAACACTTGCAGCTTCGTGCTGCTCGTGAACAGGAGCAACGCCAGTTCGAGCAACAGCAACAGCAATTACAGCAACAGCAACAGCAACAGCTCAAGGAGCAACAACAGCGAGAGCGAGAGCGAGAGCGAGAGAGGCTCAAAGAAAAGGGACGAGAGAAGGAACGCGAACGTGAGAAGGAGAAAGAACGCGGTGACCGTGATCGTGACCGTGAGCGTCGTAGTCGACGTCTTTTGGGCGAGTATGCTCTCGGTAAGACTCTCGGTGCTGGTAGCATGGGCAAAGTCAAGCTCGGTGTCAGGATGGGCAATGGTGAGAAGGTGGCGATCAAGATCATCCCACGCCACACCTCGATGGCAGCTGCCCAGTCTCCACGAGGTGCCGTCGATGAGAACGGCAAGCCGCAGCCACCACCACCGCCTCCGACAGCCTCGTTCTTGGCCAAAGCCGCCGCCAAAGATCAGTCCAAAGAGACTCGTACTATTCGAGAAGGCTCACTTCAGATCCTCCTTCATCATCCATACGTCTGCGGTATGCGGGAGATGTTCATCCACACCAACCACTACTACATGGTCTTCGAGTACGTCAATGGTGGACAGATGCTCGACTATATTATCAGTCACGGTCGTCTGAGGGAACGAAGCGCACGCAAGTTCGCCCGTCAGATCGGCAGTGCTCTCGAATACTGTCACCGCAACAGCATCGTTCATCGTGATCTCAAGATCGAGAACATCCTCATCTCCAAGACGGGCAACATCAAGATCATCGACTTTGGTCTCAGCAATCTCTTCTCTCCCCATTCGCACCTCTCAACCTTCTGTGGCTCGCTCTACTTTGCTGCGCCAGAGTTGCTCAACGCAAAGGTCTACACGGGCCCCGAGGTCGATGTCTGGTCGTTCGGTATCGTGTTGTACGTGCTAGTGTGCGGTAAGGTGCCCTTTGACGACCAGAGCATGCCTGCGCTCCATGCCAAGATCAAACGAGGTCAGGTCGAGTATCCTGCCTGGCTGAGTGGAGAGTGCAGGCACATTCTGTCGCGTATGTTGGTCACTAACCCTGCCAACCGAGCTACGCTTTCGGAGGTTTTGGCCCACCCTTGGATGGTCAAAGGCTACGATGGTCCTCCTGACGCGCATCTTCCCGATCGCACACCGCTTCGACCTAACAACTTAGATCCGGAGGTGATCAAGGGCATGACTGGATTCGAATTCGGAACACCCGAGTCGATCACGAATAAGCTGATGGAGGTGCTCTTGAGTGACGGATACCAGCAATCGCTTCAGCATTGGGAGCTCAAGAACCTGCCGGCTAGCCTCAACGGTCTCAGCACCACTGGCAGTATTGGTTCCTCGCCTGACTCGGCCACTCTCAATAGGCTGTCGACACGCGGAAGCTTCACTGCGACTGGTGGATCCGACACGGTCAAGTCTAAGACAGGCTCTCGACGATTCTCTGGTATCGAGTTCTATCGCAAGAAGCTCACGACGAATCCCTTGGCAGCGGCATTTGGCAGCAAGGACGACTCGTCGGCGGGTTCAGCGAATGGTAGCTCGAATGGCCTTGGCTCAGGTACTGGCTTGATGCCGTTTGGTAAAGAGCCTTTGGATCCCACTCGCGGCTTCCACCCGTTGATTTCAATCTACTTCCTCGTGAAGGAGAAGATGGAGCGTGAACGACTCTATGGTCACTCGTTCTTCGCATCGTCCAACCTCTCGCTCACTGGTCCACCTGTTCCACCCTCGGGCGTCGCTGGTGTGGGCGCAGGCACAGGTGCTCGAGCAGCATCTTTTGGGGCTATGCCTACAGCTGCCGACATCCCACAAGAGGCAGTCCGCGTGCCCGAACCACCGCACGTCTCGCACCGAGCTTACGATCCTTCTCGTCAAGAAGCAGCGCTGGCTGCACCTGCACCGCCTCGTTCAGTAGCGGCTATGATGTCGTTGCCTGTTTCTCCCACGCCCGTCTTTGACTCGCGGGAAAAATCGAGGCCGACGGGTATCATGGCTGGTCCACCTCGTGCTCGTGCCAATGCGGAGGAGATGGAAGCTGCGTTGCGCGAAAAGGGTTTGCCCTCGCCGAACGAAGCTGTCTTTGCTCCTAGCATTAGTGGTATGACGTCTGTGCCGGCGCCGAGTGCTGCAGGAAAGCGACAGTCATTCTCGGTGGCACCACCTATTGCGGAGGTCGTTATGCCTCAGAATCACCGTAACTCGATGATGAGCCCGGATACGAGCATGGCTGTGGCCAACAACCACAAGCGTAGTATCAGTTTGACTGCTCGTCGTCCTTCGAATGCTGCAACTTCTGGCCGCACTTCGGGGATGGGCGCAGATGGTAGTGTTATCACGGCACCCGAAGCAGCTTCTGTGGATGCAAGGAGGATGTCGACCATGTCGCCTGCACGTGCCGATAAGAGGATGTCGACCATCAACACGCCGACCAAGTCCGAGGCTGGTATCGCAGCGTCCTCTCCAGCGCCTGCAGCAGCAACAGCCAACACCAACTTCACGTTGGGATATGGTGCTTCACTTGCTCGTCGCTTCAGCTCGTTCATGAGCCGATCTCCTTCGCAACCGTTGGATGCGGAGGCGAGGGAGCGAAAGAAGC